GCCCCAAAGGGAACATTTACCAATATTTTCAAATTCTTATCCTTTGATGACATGACAAGTATTGTATTTCACTTAGTTTACATGCTGATTTCCACATCACATCTAAACAATAAAATAAAGCTACCAGTACCTATGATATAACTCAGGTGACCGCTAAGGCCCTTGGGCCTCTTGTTATCATTTTGAGGAAAAATTATGAGCCAATCTCATACTATATACACTGACATGAGCCTGTATGAAATACCTTAAGGTCATTTTGTAAAAAGAAATATGATAAGAGCTCAGTGTATATACACCTGTGCCTGCTCCAGTTATTGACCTAACATGCAGTTACATTATCACTTTAAACTTCGCACTGTAACAGTTACGCCGTGCCCTAATTCATCATACATGTTCCTAGAACATAAGCAGAAGGAATGCAAGCAAATAATGCAAAGTGCATAACAAAACGTATTTAATATGACAAATGTATAAATAATATCCAAATTAGCTCATAGGTCATGGTCTGTCAATTCAACAGATATCAGATCAGTTCACAAGCACATGCACGTCTCAATGTTAAAGTGAAAGTCAAGCTGACACGTCATGCTATCTACGACGTTTACCTGTGTGCCTTTCCCAGAACCGGGAGGTCCAAGAAGGACGGCATTTACACCAGTCTTTCCACTCTCTGTAGCAACTGGTACTGGTGGCATCTTGTTTCCTTTTATGAGTGAATTTACTAGCTACCGCACAGTCTATCCAATACCGGCTCTTAAACGTGTTTTCCGCTTTACTGCGCAAGCGTTATACAGAAACTTCCGGTTTTGTATTTCCGGTAAAATGAAAACAAACCACCTGCTGCCGTTTTTAGTTGTTTTGTGCAGTTTTTATGGAAGTCAGATGATCATTTGATAAACTTTGGTTATTTTAACAATTGTTCCACGATATCTTTTACTATTTAAAGCTTAATCGTGTTAACATTACGAACCAAACTAAAAGTCACGTGATAAGACTGGGAAACATGGCGGAAGGGGAGTGTTCCCACTGCTTGTCAAATCACTCGAATTGATTATTTTGGTCTTACGCTTTTCCTGACTTAAAATACAAAGATGCATTTCTCAATACCAGAGACCCAGGAACAACAGGATGCTAATGGCACGAGCTACACGGTAAAAACACTGTTGGACATATATAGAAAACTTTTTATGTCAAAGATCAGCTGTGACAGACTAATTTTCATTTTATTTACACATGCATGCAGATCCTACTAGGTAACTGCGCATAATACCAATGTCGCTTTAAATTATTTTGTTATGACTTTGTTAACATGAGTGCAGAGTGTATATATTTGTAACATCATAGACAATAACGTCTAATTGCACATGCAAACAAATGACATTCGATGTAACAGGAAAGAGAGCTTTACTGATTGAACGAAAGGGAAATTCCCTCTAGTGTGAAACACGAAGTCTCACTGGGATTTGAACCCAGGTCCTCCCAAACTCTAGTCAGACAATCTACCAATTAACCTAACATCATGGTCGTCAATGTTTGACCCAGTCAAGTTCCGCTGCTAAATCTTAGCTTCAGTTGTGGCCTTCAGCTTTACATTTATTAATCGGTTATTAAGTTTGGTAATTAAGAAATAAATGGCAATCCAAAATCTCGTTATGGAGAAACTGGTGGAAGCGTTATAAATAAACTTAATTTATTTTACAACAGTTATGAAAAAAGTAAAAGTGTTCTTGGATGGATTCATATGGGGCGTCACTAGTTTAATTGTTTGGGTGTTTATAATGGCCAACTGGATTTGAATCATATTTTCGATATCATATTTGCCACAAATACAAATGTTTTGTTTGTTGGTTATATATAAATTTTGAATAACTTTTGTTTTAATGACCTAGAATTGTATTTCAGACATTCAACATTCATATCAATGGAATGTTCCACTGTTCTGTTCGCTACAGCGTGCTCCACACATTTCATGAGCAAGTGAGTACCATGTTTTTTTACCACTGATAGGCCCTGACTTGGGTATTGCCACCATCCTCACCCCATCTCTTCTTTAATTTTTATTTTCTGGTGAATAATTGAGTTATTAGCAAATTGAACTCAGCCTCCCATCCCCAAATAAATAATATAATGTTGTTGTCTTGGCTTAAGTTCTGCCGATGAAAGGGTAGGAAATGGAAAGCTTAAGCAGTATATATACATGTAAAGATGGCCTTTTTTTTTTACATCCCATTCAGTTAAAAACAAAAAACAAATCTGGCACGCCTAAAATCTGAAATTTTGAGGTACAAACTAATAATTGCAAATTACCAGTAGTGTATTTCTCACCACCAGGCGCCAACAGAGTATACCAATAGAGAACAGTAATTAGTTTATTTAATTTTTTGAAGACAGTATAGAAATCTGTGTACTTTTATTTTCCCTTTTTTTCATGAACCTAAAATATACCAAAATAAAATAATTTTCAACTTATCTTTCATTTTCTACTCAGTTGTCATAATTAGATAAATTTGAACCTAAACAGTCACCGTGAGTTGTAACCTGACATCCTTTGATATATAGGATGCTGTAATACAATCCAATAACCCAACGTCCATGCAGGGCTGGTAGACTTTCAGTGCTAGACTTTAGTGAACCTTTTCCAAATTTATTATGAAAATATAGCTGAATTTACTCAGAATTATTCAAAATATAGCCTACATTGCTTTCAGTAAACTCTTGAGAATATCTTTTTTACTCTTCAAACGAGCTTTGACTCTTGGGTTTGAAATTAAGTTCATTTATATTTGACATGTGTTTTGACCATCCAAATTTAAGGGGGGAAAAAATTGTCATCTGAAACTATTTATGAAAGTGATTGCAAGCCTTTGTTGTTTGTTTTCACAATTATAACAATTACTATTATCCATATGTTGTAAAGCGCCTTAGAGTAATTTTACAAATTATATAGGGCGCTATATAAATGTTGTATATTATTATTATTATATATATAAATTGCTGAATGTCAAGATTCAACTGAAAGCCCTGCAACATTAACTCATTCGCCCCTGAAATTTCAAAATGAGATATTGACCAGCCTTTGAATTTTAGAGTTCAAATGTGTCTCCAGGGGATGAATGAGTTAATTAACCTAGTACATGTACTCTAATGGACCCCCCTGAAAGGTGATGGTGTTATTGCATTGTCTCCCCTTAACTGAATGTCTCAACATTTTTGGGTAGACATATGTATAGATAAACTTAATACACATTTATTTTCAGTTCTTTATGTCAATTTCAAATTAGTTACTAAGGATTGAGATAAAACTTAAACCTTAGCTTAGTTTCTGCGTTTTGGTTAAATTGTCAATTATTTACTTAAGATTGAGTGATAAAGGAAATAGTGAAAAGGTAATCAAAATTAATTAGAATCAGGAAAAAAACTGTAACAGGAAAAATGCTACAGCCAGATCAGGGTTCAAACAAGGGACCCTCCAAAAATATTATGAATCAATGCTAATTCATAATTGCATTTTAGTGATCATGAAATATGCCAATATGTAATCATGAATATTACATGTACATGCATGAATGTAAATATGCCTTATATATATATATTGACCTTCTCAAGATCATGCCAGCGTGTCTTTAATAGTATACATACTGGTATATACTTTTACCCTTTATCTCTTTTGACTTACAAATGTAGGTTCTATAATTAACTTTATCAGTTTTGCATAATTTCTGAAAGTGATACGACTCGCTGCTGTAGTGCAGGCCTTATCAATATCAATATACACAATGTTAGATTAACACGATGGTTTCTGTCAAAGTTGAATCGCTATTACATGTACTATAGCTTTTTGATACCATGCCAAGTCAGTGATTTTTTTAGCGAACAATTCTGCGATATTGTCCCAAAATTGTTGTATATTTATTGGTGTATAATATATATACTACCAACGTTGTATTATGCATCAAAAGGGAATCAGTTTTGCCTAATCTCATCAGAAATTTTGTGGAATTATTTGATAAACCTTATCAGTAATGTAATAGGAAAAGTCTTTATAACTAGGTAGTTGAAAATTAGTTATATATCGGTAATTATATGTTTGGAGATTTTTTTTATGTTTGCAATTGGAGAAAACTCTTTTGTTAAAAGAAGTTCATGATCAGTTTTCTCGGGACCCTCCAAACTTTGGATGGACGCTCTACCAATTGAGCTACATATGTACCTGGTCCCTGACCCAGTCCAGTTTCGCTACATTTCTCCCTCCTTTTTCTAAGTCTTCGCCCCAGAAGACCCATTATTCTCAACCCAGGTTCGGGTATCCCCTTGCTAACGAAGCATCAATATTCCCCCAGTACCTGAAATAAGGGTTGGCAATGCAAGCTCGCCAATTTTGTAACAGGAGAAAGAAAAATGCAATGACCAGACTTGGGTTCGAATCCGGGACCCTCTGAACTTTATACAGACGCTCTACCAATGGAGCTACCTGGTCGACCCAGTCCTGTTCCGCTACACATGCGCACATATATATATAATGTAATTACTGTAATAAAGATGTTCTTTATATGTTTCAGTTTATAATTAAATCACTCTATGATAATATGGCTTTGAATAAGAAATTAAACAATACAAACTCAGACATTTCATTTAAATAAAAAACAAAATTTCTCACTTCAAAAATATAACTGTTTTTGTATTTATTATATATTTCTTTTACCTTTCAGTTGAAGAAAGAATTTGGCGCTAATCAACTTCCACATTTTCCACCTAAGAAACTGTTCCCACTGTCTCCGCTAAAACTAGATGAAAGGCGGCTTCTACTTGAAAAATTTGTACAGATTGGTAATTATATGTACACATGTGCTTTTATGCATCTCAGATGCAGTTTTGTAACAATTTTTTTATTCCGATTGTTAAGCAGCAGGTTTTAATTATCTCCTGATATCTTTACCTTTTGAGCATTAGAATTTAACTGCATTCTGTCATTGATATAAAACTTTGGGGTACATTTCAGTATAGCATTAAATAAATTTATACCCAAGTTGATCATAATAAACTGGTAAAATTCACTCAATTTGATATTAAAGTAGAATAAATGTTCATATATTTTTAAATTGTAGTAAGCCAAGACCCAGAGATTGTTATCGTATATAAGATAAGAATGTAAAAGAATGTATATAAATTCTTGTTTTATACTTATATTCTTGGGGGGTTTATTTAGCTGTGGTACGTCTTCATTTGGGCAGTTACTCATTTTCATCATTAATCCCCGTAGAATTTCATTCTGAGGTATATATATATGCTTCTTTTATACATTGCCCAGTCCACAGCTATGATACAGCTGGCCCGCGGGTATACGTATATATATACATACATGAATGAAAGTTATAATAATTAGTAGTATCACAGCTGTTATATCCCCTTAGCCCTTATATATAGGTAGAATGTTTCGGAAATAAATATTATTATTTGCTTATCAATCTCAGTCTTTTGTTCATAAAGTACTCATGATAATAAATTAGAATAAATGTTGATACATTTTTAAATTGTAGTAAGTCAAGAACCAAAGATTGCCAACAGTGATGTGTTTAATGGATTTCTTCTCAGTGCACAACAGGTAACCTTTTTTATCACATAATGTACTGTGTTATCCAGTGAATAATACCCATGTCATATTTGTTGGCCTATTAACCCATGTTATATGACCTATCAGCCCTGTGATTGGTTGTAATATAGAAGTTTCAATTGTGACGTCACGCCTAGGACAAGTACATGACGTCACAGACTTGTGCACTGGAGTCAAAATGGCGGCTTTTTACATTTCAAGGTTGCATGAAATTCGTCGTTTTACACGAATAAATGCCACAAATCCTGATTATGTGATAAAAGGATCTTACACTCGTTTTCATTTCATATGAAGAGTTTTTCATTATAGCTTGCCAGAGGCTTGCTAAATTGAAAAATTCTTAGACTTGTTTCATAAATCTCATATGAGATGGAAACTCATGTAAGATCCTATATAAATACCGGGTACTTTATACGGGATATATGTTTGCCGCAGTTTAACTTTCGCCTTTTTAGCCCTCTTTGATGAAAGCGAATTTATCAAGATATCAAATATTAGTACACAGCGTACTATACAAAGTCATCACATGAAAATGGCGAAAATAAGACCGGGCAAATATGGATTTTACTAGTGCAGATTCAAAGTTTAATTGGACGAAGGATTCCCAGTATATTTGGTATACACAATGAGTGTAGTTTAAAATGGTATGCAACTAAATACTTAAGGGTGTCAAAATATGCCTGAAGTGTACGTATCACCTTTAATTGCAGTGCAGACGAAATGTATTGCGACACAGCCCATTAACTCATTCACCCCTGAAATTTCATGATGAACTATTACAATTTTTGAATCGGAAGAGTTCAATTTAAATGTGTCTTTAGGGGTGAATGAGTTAAACATATCCAGCTATATTTTCATAGGAAGAAGGTGCTCAATTTAAAAAGAAGTGTTGCAGAGTGTTATCAAACTGAATCATTTTAATGATATGCACCACACAGATTTAAGAATTTTGTTCAACCAATCATGAATGATCAAATTTCAACTGGTTCCCACCACTTGTAATAATAGATAGTTTATAATTATGGTTATTAGCTCAGCAAGCAGATACATTATACATAATAGTAAGCTTTTGAAAAATATTGGATGCAGCAATAGTTCATTTGTGTATTGCAATGTGATATATATACAATATTCTTGTGTATTGCGATATTGCGTTTTTCCGAAATATTGTGACAGCCCTTGTAAAGTTAGAAAGTAATGCTGCTTAGTATATAAGACGGTTCATTCTTTCATACACATTTCAGATCAGATAACATAATGATGCTTTTGACCTGTTCCTTATTTTAAACTTTCATGCATTATATATAATTACGCTTTATCAAAACAAAATCCCCCAACAAATGAAACCACTTTACAAAATTTATGTTAAGTTTTATATATAAGAACGTTTCTAATTGTTGTACAGTAAAACCTCCATATACTGCCCCTTGTTTCATTTGTCACCTCTTTTTACCGCTTTCATATTTCAATGTCCCTTTTTTTGTTTTCTTAATAATTCCTTAATGCATTTCCCAAAATTTATTGCCAAACCTCTTAATAATGCCAAAAATTCTCTGATAACAAATCGTGGCAGTCAAATGAGGTTTTACTGTAGATTTAATTTTAGAAAATGTTTTCTTCAGCATTAAACACTGAAAATTGACAATTGTTTGTGTGTGCAGTATTACATATTTCCTTTGGTTTGACGGTAAATATTTCCTCTCATTGGTAATTTCAGGAAACTCAGAAGGAACCATCGGAAGATGTAGTACTAGATGTGTATTTGATGAACGGTCATAAGATAACGGTCAATATCAAGTCAACTGACCAGACAGATGATGTTTTAGAGGTAATGACGAAAGCTGAACAATTGTTTTATTTGTTCTTGTCTTTAAAATGGAAACATACAACGTTCTGGTAGTGAAATTGACGAAAAGGTAAAACTGTATACAGAGAGGGAAAATTTTCGCTACAGTTTTAATTTTTCGCCTTTTTCACCCTCTAAATTGAGGGCAAATTTATTATGACAGAGAGTATTGGTACACAACATACAATATATAGTAACTACATGTGAAAATTTGTACACTTAGCAGACATGGATTTAATTGGCAAATTGACGAAGGTTTGCCATTGTACAGTCGCGATACAATGATACGTATATAACTGGTATACAAGTGTATATAGGTTTTTTAATTATGTTGCAGGCTGTGGCTTCCCAGATAGATCTACCAGATGACTGTGTATACTACTTTGGTCTTTTCCTCGTACAGAAGGAAGAAGCAGGGGATAACTCTAGTAAGTCTGGTTTACGTCATTACAGCTCGGTCTGTAATGTACTGATAACAGGTCAATTTAGACGATTTTGCCCTCAGTTTATAGATATTTTCCCTTATTGCGTACCCTGGAATGGATGGAAAGTTCAACAGTAAAAATTTGGTAAATTAGATTGTAAACTTTTGATATATTAGATAGTAAATGTTTTATTGTAAACTTTTGATAAATTAGATTGTAAATTTTTAAAAAATGAGATGGAAAATTTTCAAGTCAGAGGATGAATTCGACACATTGCATAATTTCGAAAAAAGCAAAATTAAAGTATTGCAAGGTATGAGCAATCAAATTTTCTGTTAAAGTTCATTAAAACTCTCTTGGGCCCTATTGTTTTGAAGCTTAAGATTTCGAAGATATCTTCATGAAACCTGAAGTATAATCTATAAACATGCATCACCCACAGAAGGAATGCATTGCACTGTATTTAAGTCATTGTGACCTTCACCTCTAGGTCAAAGGTCAAATACTGAGTGGAAATTTTTCATCCAGATCTTGTCCAGTCTGTAACTTTAAACCCATTAAAAAAACAAAGATATCTGGTAAAACTTTACGTACACATAAAGCTTGCATCACCCACAGCAGGTGTATACTGATAGGTCAAAGGTCAAATAAATGCAAAACAAAAATGTTCTTGTTTTTGTTTTAATGCCAATCTGATTAAAACCATATCACTCCGTTCTCTGCTACGGAGCGTAGATCAAGATATGGTTTTAATCCGATTGGTTTTTATGCATGTGTTACAAAAGTTTTTTAAAAGATACTAAATTTCCTTGAATTAATTGAAAAAATTAATCTGATAACTTTGTTTTCCAGTTGTCAGAAAATTACAAGAATTTGAATCTCCGTTCATTTCGTTGAAATATGCAAACAAGTCAGGAACACATCGAATAGTCTTCAGGAAAAGGTGAGATTTAATTAATGATCAAAGTGTATTGCAGACTCCGACCAATCTATTTTGATATTCTACAGATATTTATAAAATTCTGTGGTATCCTAGTTATAGAATTACATTAATATTTGAGCATCCGGAGAGCTTGTAGGAAGGGGACGCCCCAATCACCTGCTCCTTGGACTGCCCCAAAAACCTGTGATATTCTGTTTAAATTTTTTAGTAATGTACTGTAATATGTATGTCAACTGTCATGTTACATGTGATGTCTATGATCTATTTCCTGAAATAAACATTATTATTATAAAAGAGGTTGTCTTTGCCCGTCTCCGGATGGTTCATTCATACATTACCCATTCTTATTGAAGCACAAAGACCAGCCTCAAGTTATGGCATGTCACAAGTCATTCACTGTAAAACACTTGTTACTAGATTGCATTGACGTTCAGAAAACACAACAAAAGTTCTGTAATTATATAATAAGTCTTAAATCTCTTTTTCAACTGTAGTATTTCGGCAATTCTAAACTTCCTAACAACTGTTGGTCTGTCCAAAGGACATGTAATTACACAGAGACAAATTTACTTATTTAGTTGTCATTAAGTCTTTAACTTTTATTTCTTTATGTCATTTCCATTACCATGTTATATGAACAATTTATTGGCCCTAATGACATCTTCTATGTTGATGAGTCATTAAGAATGTATTATATGGAATAATAATATAGAAATCTAATTGTAATAAAAACAAGTTATTTTCAATAATTGCTTTAAACCAATTAGAAACCAATTTGTTTTATTGTATTTGTCTTGCAATAAGCCCATGCTTGGTAATAAGCCCACCATTATATATTGCAGTTAGGAAGAAATGCAAACAAAAGCTTTGTCTATATTAATTTGTTATAAGCCCATCCCTCTACTTTCAGTAAGAGGTTATGTGTTGGCCCCCTGGGCTTTTTGCAGGATAAATACGGTAAAAAAAGAAATTTATTGATTAAATATTAGTTAACTCAGTCATCCCTGAAGACACATTTGAACTCTTCCAATTCAAAGGTTGGACTAGTTCATTATCAAATTTCAGGGGTGAAAGAGTTAAAACACATGTATTGTTTTCCAGTTTTTGGGACTTGTCCTACGAAGATGACCTTCTAGAAAACAAAATTTCTATGAACCTTCTTTATGTGCAGGTATGTATCGTAGCTGAAATGTCATTAATTCAGAGCAGATAATTTATCCAAAATCTTGGTTCTAACTGCTTAGGTAACATTTAAATAAGTTGGACTGCTTTTGCATATCAAGTTCAATCGTTTCAACCAGCTGAACCTGAAATGAAAACAACAGACTCAGATATGAAAACAAGCTGACCTCTGGAAAATTTGACACTAGCATATCAAGGGCTCCATTTGGCATGTCCATATGGAGGGGTTGCGACGTGCCTGACCGAAACTAAAATGCTGACTATCACTGGTTTGTATAATTTATGCATAAAACAAGGACGATTCAGATGTATATTTTAGGATATGGTATTGAATTTAGTTGAAGCATGAAAGAAGGACATTTTCCTGATGTATTGTTATATTATTTGACACAAAACTCCAAAACTGTGCATTTTTTGCTCAGCCTATAAAGTCGGCATAGTTTATCGGAAAAACCCATGTGATTTGCGCAGGTACTATTTGAGGCTGAAAATCCCTCAAAAAGCTTCTACTCAAATATTTTGCGCACCAATTTTTGTTTGAAAAAAAACAACATGTTCAAGTTCCGAAAATCGATCTCTGAAAATGAAAGACAAACCGCTTGGGATTCTTAGGATTTTTGTAATTTGTTTATTATAAGTAAGTTTATAGGTATTGTTAACAGGTACAATGATGTTAAAATTAAGAAGAAACTGCGTAAAATGTGTATTTTGTTGTTCGTTTCCTTTGAAATATCTGATGACACACATGTGTGCGCATAATGGCATACATATATGTGTACATCAATTCAAGTGCGTTCATTTATTGTGGAATATTTCTGCGCCATCTAAACTGTTTCAGCCATGATACACGAAATGACCAGCATTCCCCACGGGGTTTGAAGAAGTGATTTCTCTGACTCTATCCCATTGTATGATCATATGGGGCTATTTAATTTTAAGAATTTCTTTCTGTATTCTCTTAACCCTGGACGTCACATTGTTATACTGTCGCTCTAACCAACTGAACTACCGATCAACAGTACCCTTGTAAATTATGATACAGTTATATCAAAAACGAAAATAAGGGGAGGTAACTGCATATACGATAAAACGACAGTGGGATTCTTTAGTGTTTTAATTTATTAGAAGTGGGACAGGGATCAATAAAGCCTCAGTGGTTTCACTGTACTACAAGAGTGTTGATTTTGTGCATAATGGAACTAAGGGGAGATAACTGTATATATGAAAGAACAACAGTAGAATTTTTTAGTGATTTACCTTCAGTGGGACAGGGATCCTTAAACCCTGGTTTCACTGTACTACAAGAGTGTTGATTTTGTGCTATAGTTATATCCAAAATGGAACTAAGGGGAGATAACTGTATATATGAAAGAACAACAGTAGACTTCTTTAATGATTTACCTTCAGTGGGACAGGGATCCTTAAACCCTGGTTTCACTGTACTACAAGAGTGTTGAGTTTGTGCTATAGTTATATCCATAATGGAACTAAGGGGAGATAACTGTACATGTATATATGAAAGAACAACAGTAGAGTTCTTTAGTGATTTACCTTCAGTGGGACAGGGATCCTTAAACCCTGGTTTCACTGTACTATAAGAGTGTTGATTTTTTTGATGATGTATTTTCCAGGCAGTCAATGACATAGAGAGACATTGGACTCTGGGAAATAAGGAACAACTCAAGCATTTATCTTCTCTACAAAATAAAGGGTCAAAAAGGGAGGTAAGTCTCCCCAGAATTCATCATAAAAGTAAATACCTTTCTAAAATCTGAATATTATCTAATCTATTTTATTTTGTCTGAAAAAGAAATGGCAGTCTGAATTTTAAAAAAAAAGTGGCCAAAAATTATCAGGAACACACGTTTTGAGGCAGGTATTATCAATGTTTACAAAGCTGGGGGGGGGGGGGGAACCAGAGTTTTTGAAATATTTTATCAGGTAGGTTGATAAAAGTTCCTCAAATTCATGAATACTTTATTGATTTTGATTAAGAACAGATAACATTCATTGTGAATTGCTCTATAAAATGCTGTATCGTAGTATGATCACACATATGAAAAGTGTTCCTTTTGGTGCCGTCACTTTAATTAATTGTACTGTACAGTGAAAAAATAATGGTGTGTAGCGTCATGTTGATATTGAATTATTTATAGTACTTACGACTGGCGAGGACACTCAAGTACTACGGTCACCTACAGTTTAAGCCCTGTGTGACGGACTACCCTCTTCCAAACTCACGAGCTGTGGTATCCGTCGGCAATAGAGAAATGAACTTCAGGATACAGACAGCCCCTGTAAGTTTCCAAGTTCAGACATAATTCATATGACCACATTGAAAACAACATATATGTACTGTAAAATAAAAGTAGACATGTCTTGCTTGCGTTATTTTTAGCTCACCTGGCATGAAGTAGCTGTGAGTATAAGGAATCTCGCCCCGGGATCATGAAACAATCTTAGACTTAAGTTTATGCTTAGCCAATCACATATGACATTCACATTTTATGACATTATCTTTGATTGGTCATTGGTCAAGTCAAATCTTAAGACAATTTAGACTTAAGATCATTTCATGATATATAGAGTTATAAGACCTGGGTTATGATATTTAGTCAGTTTGCTACCTGGGTTGCAGAATTGACATAGATGAACCTTGTACAATAAGACCTCACTATAATGCCCTTAGGTCTTTTGATTCTTAAGAAGAAGTCTTTTTATGAAAACAATGATCACCTCGCTTACCTGCAACATGTTTCAAGGGAACATTTTCTCCATTTCTTCAAGAATTCTTCTATATGTTTCCCTCAATATATTGCCAACCCTTCTATATAATGTCAAAATTTCTCTGGGCAAATGGTGGCAGTATAAGAAGGTTTTACTACATGATATTTCTTATCGAAGAGAGAATTTATCTATTTATAGTGCAATTGACCACTGATGGTAATCTGTAGTCTATGATTTATAATTTCCTAGCAATTGGTGAATGTTGTCCTAAAAGTGTAGCTGTCGCAAAAGGCACAAAGACAAGGTTGCCTTTGCTTTCTCCAATTAGATCATTCATACATTACATATTCTTATTAATTGAAATGCGAAGATTATTTCATGATTTTGAAATTAAAAACACAAATCAAAACGCCATTTCATAGATACATGAATTTGCGATCATGGGATAAGACATTCAACAAAATCAACTAAACGAAAAAGAACTTCATTGGATTTTCAAACTAAAAACCATTACAGAAAGGGATAATGTATATTGGCTGTATTGCACAATTGGAAATGTAATCTGTAGATTGACACATATTCATCCTTTCACAGAAATGTTATAACTAAGTGTTAATTATTTCTTTGTAGAATGTGATAAAAGAAGGAAACTTCCGCATAACGCGAATGAGGTGCTGGAGGATCACCACTTGTGTAAGTTTAGTATAACGCGAATGAGGTGCTCGAGGTTCACCCCTTGTGTAAGTTTAGTATAACGCAAATGAGGTGCTGGAGGATCACCACATGTATAAGTTTAGTATAACGCGAAAGAGGTGCTGGAGGATCACCACTTGTGTAAGTTTAGTATAACACGAATGAGGTGCTGGAGGATCACCCCTTGTGTAAGTTTAGTATAACGCGAAAGAGGTGCTGGAGGATCACCACTTGTGTAAGTTTAGCATATCAAGAAATAAGGACCCGGGTTAATCAATGTTCAATATAAATATAAACTTTATTTATTTCACAACAATTATGAAACAAGTTGTTTCAACTTAAATTAATCACTCTTGTTGGCCCGGGTGTTCGCGTTATGAGGGAGGAAACCAGAGTACCCGGTCGGGACTCCATCCCTTTCACATCCAATCGGGAATCAAACTCTGGCCGCCTTGGTGAAAGGCAAGTCCACTGCGCCAATACAACCAACCATCCTATCAATGTTCAATATATTGAAACGTATTACATAATAAACCACAAATTTAATACACACATCATTTCGATGTCTGTTGCCTCTTGTTCAAGATGGTCAAAGGGAAGCAACTCATATTTGCCTTAATGGTTTCCTACCACAAATCCCTTGATTTGCATATTCAGAATGATTGCAAACTTTCATTATGTATATTAATAGCAAGTCGAGTTATTTTGGTTTACATCACTTATGCACATAATTAATTTGATGTATACGGAGACATTTCACACAGTAAAATCAATTTTCGCCAAATATTAAATTTGCACTAACATTTAATTGCTTTGTATAATATGTTTTTTACAAATACTTTCTGTAATGATAAATTTGCCCTCATTATAGAGGGCGAAAAGGACAAAAATTAAACTGTAACGAAAACTTTCTGTTAAATATTATTTGCTGAAGTCTTCAGCTCAGGAGATATATACAATTTGGACAAAACTATTACTGACATCTAATCCTTAAAATTTGCTGGCACCTACAGCACTACTTTCCCAGGTATGAAAAACATTCAATTCACTGTGATTTTATTCTTTGCTCTACAGCTTAATGACAGTAAAGAGGAAATTAGGAACCCATCTAGTCCACGGTTGGAGCTCGCCTTCGAGTACCTCATGGCTAAGGATTCACTTAAATGGATAACCATTACTAGTGACCAGGTATGAGCAATGATGTATAGTCTTACCTTAGTGGTTACTGTATATATTCTGCAATAAGCCCAGGAGGTCAACCTGTAATCTCTGGATGGCCTATGACAACGACAATGAAATAGTATTTGTTAACATTTCTAGCGAACTGCAAAAATAATAAAAATAATAAATGATACCAATAATTTGAGGTTCTTAATTATATACTGCTTTATCACAACCTAGTTCGTAGCTGGTCTCAAAGCAGTTTACAAATTATTATCCGTGGTTATAGGGCCTTTGCCCTTTTTTTTGGCGCTCACAGCTAGCATTCAATAATTCTAGCACTGCCCAACCACGTACTGATTTACAGCTGAGTAGACTGGAACAAGTGAAGTAAATCATCTTGTTCAAAACACTAGACTACTGTGCCTCCTAAAACAAGTTTAGTGGGCTTATTACCCAGCATCAGTTTAGGCCAAAAGAAAATTACTTGTGTTTCCACTTTCATCCTCAGAAAAAATAGGGTAGGAAGCTAGGCAGGGAAGCTAGATTTTTTTTAATTTTGGAAAATGTTTTTACTCTGCTTAATTATATAGAGCAGGAGTTCAGACTTTAACAGTGTATACCACTAAATGACTATAAAAAATTTAGGGTAGGCACAAAACTATAGGTAGGTAAGTGATGTTGAATCTCAGGATTTTTTAAATTTGGCCTTAATTTATTGCCGGATAAATATGGTAAGCAGTCGTCTTTGTTCCAAGCTAAGATGATTGATAGTGAATTGTGTCTGATAGTGTTGGTTAGGTTAATTATGCTCAATTTTTTTCTACATTGAAGGTCAAGGTCACTGTTACAATTTTTAGAAAAAACTTTGTCATCGCTCTAGCGACTTCATTACTGAAAAGAATTTCATGAAACTTCATACAAGTGTTTGGTATATATAGCAATGCCTTGAACAAGTCTGTGTTTCGGGGGTCTATGTTTAAGGTCAAGGTCACTGTTACTATTTTTAGAAAAACTTTGTAATCGCTCTACCGACTTCATTCTTCAACGGGATTTCATGAAATTTGATACAAGTGTTTGGTATGACCATAATACCTTGATCATGTTCTTGTTTTGGGTTACTGTTTTAAAGGTCAGGGTCACATTTACTATTTTTTTAAATGCGAGGGGATTTGTATCACTTGGGATGCCTTGTTATGTAACATGATTAGAAATATTTTCTGTCATTTTTTGTATTGTGGGATTCTGTATTCTGCAAAAATTGTCAAAAGAAATACAATTTATTCCTACTGTGTACCATGATGTAATCATTGTATTCAGTACTTACCTTGTTTGAAATTTAATTTTCATTGGAATCTCGACCCACTCAGCCATAAGGTATAGAATGTTCCAAAAGTGTATTTTCACTAATGTTTGCTAAAATTGAACAGTTATAACTTTAACCTATTTCAGAACAGCACTTGCTTTGTAAAAAATGGCAGGCAAAGATACATGTTTAAACATTTCCTAGGTTGTCCATTTTTAAAGTTTTTGTCTGAAATAAATTAAAAAAGAAAAAATTCATACCGTAAATATTCACATGCAATGCCAAATATTTTTTGGGGAAATGATAATACAATGTATCAAGATATTTTTTGAAAAATGTAAAATTTTAGAATTTAATGTAATATTATTTTTTTCAGGCTATTTTGATGAGTATGTGTTTACAGTCAGTAGTGGATGAATTAATTAGGAAGAAACAAGGGAAGAAAATCAAAAGAGTAAGTATACTACTCCGATATATGGAAAATTGTAGCGATCGTTGTCCGTCAACTTTACGTTAAAAATGCTACTTGACTAAATTTGGCCCGGAACATCCTTGGGCGAAGGGGACTAATGATTTGATATAAATAGAGAGTGTGTGCCCCCACCCCGGGCGGAGTAGATGGACCCTGTGAGGGACTGAAATGGTTGCAGTACATGTATTATATATTATTGTTGAATATTATCCCATACATCATTATCCAGGTGAGCAATACAGGCCATCTGGGCCTCTTGTTTAATCTTTATGGTAAGTCAACATGTACAAGATATCTTGGTCATGAGCAAAATAGAAGTACAGTCAAATTTAGTGTTTCGAACTTCAATCAACTGGAATACTTAGAAATATCGGGACTTTGACTCATGAATGTTGAACTTTGAATATCTTCGAGATCCTGTATGTACTGTACTGAATAAGGCCTTAACAAGAAATATAATTTGGACTCTATAAATATTGGATTTAAGTAATTAGAAAAATATTTTACATGTGCATGTATTTATACACTAGTTTGCATGTTTAGATGTTAAAATGACCCCAGGACAATTCAGTGTTCTAGTGCTGGGATTTGTTTTACTTCAATTTATCAGTTGTAATTTTCAATGTTTTCATAACAATCGGACCTTAGTTAAAATTTGAAACAGCGAGAACATTGACTCATAAAAAATTGATTTACACAATATCATGTGGTGGAATATCAGTAGTGTTATATAAGGGGAAATATTCAGACTTTGTCGAATGTTCGACATATTGAGAAATTTGAATCTTCGAAGTTCAATTTATAATAGTTTGATTGTATATCATGAATGCCACAAATGTTACTAATATTTATATAATATGCATGTAATGTTTGTTGAATTTCATGCTTACACTTTAGAAAATATAATCTTTGTTGTATTGTGATTTCATGTTGAAATGATTAAATAATTTGTTGCTTACCAGCCGCAGGACAGAAACAAGACGGTGTCAGCTGTCCGACCACTACAGAGAGGGGACAGTTATGCTGGAGCTCTCAGTCGTCAGACTTCTCTCCCCAGCCCGATAGAGGTAAGGGCACATAACTCTGGTCTAGGGGAACTGACACAACAGACTTCCCTTCCAAAGCCCGTTTAGATCTAAGGGCACATATACTCTGGTCTAACTGAACTGACTCAACAGACTTTCCTCCAAAAGCCTGTTTAGATCTAAGGGCAAATAACTCTTGCCTTACTGAATTGACACAACAGACTTCCCTTCCAAAGCCCAATTATACAACTGTAGATCTAAGGGCATGTAACTCTTGTCTAACTGAATTGACACAACAGACTTCCTCTGTTCTAGGGGAACTGATAACTAGATAAAAGGGCACTTAACTCTGATCTAGGCAAACTGACACAACTGACTTCCCTTCCAAAGCCTGTTTGGATCTAAGGGCACATAACTCTGATCTAGGCGAACTGACACAACTGACTTCCCTTCCAAAGCCCGTTTAGATCTAAGTGCACATAACTCTGATCTAGGCAAACTGACACAACTGACTCCCCTTCCAAAGCCTGTTTGTATCTAAGGGCACATAACTCTGATCTAGGCGAACTGACACAACTGACTTCCCTTCCAAAGCCTGTTTAGATCTTAAGGCACATAACTCTGATCTAGGCAAACTGACACAACTGACTTCCATTCCAAAGCCTGTTTATATCTAAGGGCACATAACTCTGATCTAGGCAAACTGACACAACTGACTTCCCTTCCAAAGCCTAGTTGGATCTAAGGGCACATAACTCTGATCTAGGCGAACTGACACAACTGACTTCCCTTCCAAAGCCTGTTTAGATCTAAGGGCACATAACTCTGATCTAGGCAAACTGACTTCCCTTCCAAAGCCTGTTTAGATCTAAGGGCACATAACTCTGATCTAGGCAAACTGACACAACCGACTTCCCTTCCAAAGCCTAGTTGGATCTAAGGGCACATACCTCTGATCTAGGCGAACTGACACAACTGACTTCCCCTCCAAAGCCTGTTTAGATCTAAGTGCACATAACTCTGATCTAGGCAAACTGACACAACTGACTTCCCTTCCAAAGCCCTTTTATATCTAAGGGCACATAACTCTGATCTAGGCGAACTGACACAACTGACTAATCTTCCGAAGCCCGTTTAGATCTAAGGGCACATTACTCTGATCCAGGCAAACTGACACAACTGACTTCCCTTCCAAAGCCTGTTTAGATCTAAGGGCACATAATTCTTGTCTAGGTGAACTGACACAACAGACTTCCCTTCCAAAGCCGATCTAAGGGCACATAACTCTGATCTAGGCAAACTGACACAACTGACTTCCCTTCCAAAGCCCATTATAAATCTAAGGGCACATAATTCTGGTCTAGGTGAACTGACACAACAGACTTCCCTTCCAAAGCCGATCTAAGGGCACATAACTCTTGTTTAGGGACATTGACACAACATACTTCCTCTTATATCCCATACAGATTCAATATAAGGGCACATAATTAAAGCTAATGGTTGATTGTTCCTCTTAAACCCTGTCTCTGTGTCGCCTCTACAGCTCAATTTGCGGCAGTGTAATCATGATATACTGCTGCAAGTCTTCAAACACAGAAGAGTTTTCCACTAAATGGTATACTCTTGACATCGTTTTTCAAAGTCTGAACAGCCAACAAGATTGTAACTATGTTCCATTTTTTATTTTTTCCCCAAAAAATACCAGGAAAATAAAGAATCTCCAATTTTTTACTTAGAAAATTAACATGAGCAGTCAACTTCTCAATCCAATTTTTTTTCCAGGAGACGCCCAAGAGTAATGGACAAAGTGTTATAGAAAACAATGCATTTGACACAATAGGGGACGACGATTTATGAAAGGCCTACCAAATAAACTGACAATGATTTCCTGAGAAGAAAAAATGCAGGTCAAAAGTTGAGCTGAGTTTCTGTAAATATATGTTTGAATTCAGAAACTGTATAATACATATAGAGCTTTTTTATTTCAACTAAAACAGTGAACACATTTTGTTTTTGCTTTCCTAAATTCAGAAAATGTCTGTTGCTAACCTTTATGCTGAATTGCACTTGGTAAATACATTGTAAAAGTAACTGCCCAGTTCAGGCAAATAAAAGCGATACAAAATACGATCATGTTTTATAATACCCCTATTATTGTCATGTTTCTTTCTGATAAACAGGATATTGTAATAAGAGGGCTTCACTGTACAGGATTTCCTTGTGGTGTAAAGCATTTTTATAGTGAACTGGATCACTAATTTATCAAAAGAAATGGGACAATTTCTAGCCAGGGGAAATTATAACATCATAAACATTATAAAAATAAAAGTTAATAATAATTTATTGTGTTCATATTAGAAATATTTTACTCATAGTTGTCAACACGCCCTCTTTAGGAGAGAGACTCCCTCAAAACTCCCTCCCTCAAGTCCAAACTCACACCAACTCAAAATCTACATCCTGTGGTCAAATGATCTCCTAGTTACTGCAGGGTGTGTGTAATGACCATAACTGGTGTGTCTGAATCAAATGAATGTTATTTGGGAGTTATTTTGATACATAAAAAGGGAAAGTTATACTGAGCATAGCAGTTTCAGTCGCGTTTCACACACTTTCTCCCTCATTGGAAATGTGGCATAAGGGAGATCTTCCTCATTAGAGGTTTCAGAGGTTGACACCTATGTTTACTGTACAGAGCGTACTGAGAAAACGTGTAAATATTCCGAATAATTATCGTAAGAATGCCAAAGCTAGTACTTACGTGATGGTTTTTTTTTCGGTGAATTTATTAAAATATGTTCCTGGAAAAGTTTTTTGAACTCTTTACATGAAGGATCGGAGGATCGTCACGGACGATATCGATGGCACTGTGAAGCTTTGTATTATTTTATGCAATGATGTTTCAAATGGTTAAGAAGTTGGAGAGAAACAGATTCTATAATTACAAAATCATCTCCAATAAAAAAAAATCCGCTGGACCTCCTCTTTGATCTTCTCGTGGAAAAAAACGTTATCTTCCTATGGTAGTAACACAGGGAGAAATCCTTACCATGAAGTGAAGTTTGAACTATGATAAAAAAAAATAAGTCGTTGAAAAGTAATATTGAACTGGACTTCTATATAAAAATACTTCAAAATGAGAAACATGTATTATGTGGAGTTTTTAACTTAATTTTGTAGGTAAATTGTTTTGCAATATCTATGTTAGATATCCTAGAGGGTGAATATAAAAAAAAAGTTTTGCAAAATTGATTTGAAATATCTATGTTAGATATTGTAGTTGGTGGAAATAAAAAAAATAGTATTGCAAAATTGTTTTGAAATATCTATGTTAGATATTTTAGTTGGTGGAAATAAAAAGATAGTTTTGCAATATGTATAGTAAAGCTGACCTACCACATTTGCCGTAATTAGCGCCCCTCCCCCTTTAAGCGCCCTCCTCCTTTTCAGGAGGGAATTGAAATTATATGAACCCAATCCCAGACCTGAGCAGGCCCTGTCAATAATTTACAGTTCTTTTAAGTAGAGATTTAAGACTGGTGATCATATCTGGATTTCACGCGAAGTGGATGAAATAACATCCAGCCATACTGGAATGTTTACATTTTCCTTGTGTTATACTGTAGCAGTGGGTGAAATTGCACAAGTTGTTCTAATCTCACATTTATTATCCTAATAAACACCCTCACTTCAGCTCATTTTAATCCCCCTGGGCGCTAACTACGGCGACACCGGTAGATATTTTGCAATACTTGTTGATGTGTAGACTGCAGAAAATGTCTTACATTCATGTGTGTCATTGTGCATGATTTTGAATAATGTCATACATATTTGTCTAACTGTTGGAAACATTTTAACAAAACTTGACGACAGCAGAACTAAGTTGTCGTCATGGAAACAAAAGATGAAGTGTTAAATGTTAATAATTGCACTATAGTTGTTGAATAAGTATTATGTTGCGAAAGATTTCCTACATTGTAATGTGAAGTCTCTCCAATATGACCCCCGAGTATTTCAATATTCCGTCTTAAATCCAAGATTATGTTGTAGTTATGTAATCCTGTTTCGAATGCACTACCAAATATGACCCATGTATTCTGACATCCTGTGTAATCTGACCAATATGTTGTGTCCCACAGGGTGTCAGATTAGACAGTATTCCCTGTACATATAGAGTATTATAGGAATGCTTTATGCACAGAAGAATTCGTTTAAGCAGCAACAGTTAATATGTGTTCAGTTTTTGTTTAATTTTGCCATAAGATGACCATGTACAACTGTAAATTTGTATTTGTTTCCTGTCGACAATGAATATTGGGACATATTTCACAAAAATTGAAATGACAAAAATCCTAACAATTTAACTCATTCACCCCTACATTTTTTTAAATGGACTTACCCAGTCTTTGATTTGGTAAGGTTCAAATGTGACTTTATGTGTGAATGAGTTAAGAGGCTGTAGATGTGCAAGTGATATACTTGTGTACAGTAAAATCTCGGTATAATGCTCCTTATTTTTCTGCACCCCACTTACCACCAACAAATTTCAATGCCTGTTTTTCTTTGTTACTTCAGAATAGTTTTGTACAATTCCCTCAATTTATCGCTAGACCTCTTTATAATGCCAAGTGTTACTGTACAATAAGATCTCATTATACTGTCAACATTTATCAACAGAATTCTTTGCATAAGAAAGAACAAGAAGCATTATATCGATATTTTACTGTACATATTTGTCATAAGACCAATATTATTTATGCAACTTAATTTGTACAATGCAAAGGTGTAATTTTGAAGTTTTTTTAAATACCAAATTTGGATTTGAATTTGTTTATCATTGACCTTTACCCTTGAAGACAGTCAGGAGGCCAAAGTTTTGAACTGAGAGTGACAATTGTTTCATCATTATTTTTTTTCCCTTTTGGAAATCAACTGTTGTTTACCCAATGTTGGATTTTTTTTTATCAAAACTGACACTTCAAACAGTCCTAAACGGGAGGACGTGCCTACTGATGTTCAATGTCTTTCAAAAACAAAGGATCAAATGCAGAAAATAATGGATACAATTTAGCGTTGATAATGTAGGCTTATGTATTTTGTGCTGCATTAAGTAGGCTTTGTCCCGCACGTTGGCTGGTACAGGAATTGGAATTGTACTGAGGAGTTGATGTCAAATGTCCTTCTAAATGTTAAAAAAAAAAAAAAAAAAAAATGTTGATATTAACTTTTTTTTGTTTTTTTTTGTTATTTAATATAAATCAATATTTTGTGAATCGAAGATTGCATCTATAAAGGGATGTTATTTTTTTCTAAAAATGACGGCTCATATGTTACCTTACAAATTGCCAGGAAGGGGAGTTAAAGAAAAAATGAGAAATTATCAATTTGGGAACTGAACTTACCAAAGTATCTTTAATAAAGGACTTAAATAAGATTTGCATCTACTTATAAATTAATTAAAACAGAAACATTGTTATAATTACTGTATATACTACAATAAAAAAAAAAAATGTACAGAACATGTGACGCAGAATAAATTTATGTTCTGCAAGCCCGTAGCAAAAATTTCCAGTTCATTTATTGTAGAAATTTCTACTGAATTTGATGAAAATATAAAAAAAAAGATATAAATTAAAAGTAAATAAATAAAAAAACAATAAAACATCGATTGAAATAACACATTCTTTTGCAGAAAAAATGGAAAGCTGGGACATTGTAAAATATATTTAGATTTTCTTTAACGATACCATATCATTTGCACCCATCTCTCTTTATTCATGTAAAATATTTCATAATGACTGGATATCTTGTAAAAAGTTTTTTGACAATGACAATCAGAATTTCGGGCTTATTTTCTAATGTTACAGGTTTTCCCTCCTAAAGTAAATGATGATTTCTAAGATAGTTATATAATTACTTAACAAATACCGATATTAAAATCATAACAAAAGAAAACAGATCATAAAATTGCAATCATTTTCCATGATCATGGCAATGACGCATTATAAAATATCTAGCATAATTATTTGTAATTCAGGAACAATTATTTCTAAATATCATGTCCATAGTTTTAACTCATTCACCCCTGAAATTTTATAATGAACTATTCCAACCTTTGAATTAGAAGAGTTCAAATGCGTATTTAGGGGTGAATGAGTTAATGGTGTTTTTGTACTTCAGCGGCATTAGAAATTTCCAAAAAGGACATGTTTTTTGCAAGTCAAGATAAAATGCAAAATGTTAGTACGTGAATAATATGTGGTAAGTATATGTTATTATTTGGGGGAAAAAATTCTGAAATGAAAATATGTTTTCATCCCATTTTCATTGTCAAAATATGTGTCAGAAATTGAAAAATTGTATGACTGTATATTGCTTTAATATATTTTATGCACAATGAAGCTGACATTTGGGAACTTATTTGTTAAGATTTTGCTTGCATTTTACTTAGCTGCTATATACTTTTTGTATATCTCATAATATGTAAAAAGATATATTTGCTTACTTGGTACTTGAATTCACAAATGCTGCTTTATAGCATGAATTTATGTGAAAATGAAATATTAAATACCATATATTTATTCCGCAATAGACCCAAGGCCCAACACATAATCTCTTACTTGAAAAAAGAGGGTGGGCTTATTACAGGACAATTAAATAGCAGCATGTGTCGGAAGTTCCACTGAACTGTGATAGACATGGGTGGGCTTATTACCAGGCATGGGCTTATTACCAGGCATGTGCTTATTGGCAGGATAGATATGGTTATCAACAGTATACATTTTCTACTTAATTATTTTCTTGTTATAGATTTTTACAGAGGCCATATTTGTTCTTAACTACATATATATGTAGCTGTTATTACATGCTGTGTTTGTTTTCACTTTTGCGTAAAAAATCATCTTCAAAGACCAGGGTTTACTCTGACTTACATTCTTTGCACCCCTAGAATATCTCATGACAAGAATGAAGGCACACAGTTAGCTATTTGATCGATTTCAGGTAAAAACCCTGACCGCTCGCTTGGCTGATACCTGTCCTTTGAGGATTACAGAGGAGCGACACCTGACTTGTACAGAGCCTTGACGGATCTGTCATGATATATTTCTGTGGTACAGAGAATTTAAAAGAGCATGAACCCTGGAATTTCCAGGGTGGTGGAAAATGTTCGCAGTATTGAATTTAGTTATGAGATTGTTAATCTGTAGCACTGTTATAATGTATGTGTTATATGGCACGTTGAAATGCAGGATCATCTAATAGTGAGAATCATTGGGGACGCACAAAATATTTAGATATATATCAAACCCCAATATCCACATTTTCAACTTAACCGGAACCAAACATTTTTTTTTTTTTTTCATTTTTCCTTTAAAATAGATTCATGGTGCATATCCATGTTTTTTATCATAAACAATCACAGAAAACATCATTTGTCAGTCGACTTACATAAAGTTATCGTAAATTTTACATGAGATCAAAGTACATTTATGTAACACAA